CAAATAGGAAAAGAAATGCCATGTGAAGATCAGCTGAGCAACCAAAGATTGCTGGCTCCCAGAATTGGAAGTAGCTAAAGAACTTCCTTCTGAGTGGCCAGAAAATAATACCTATTCATTAAAGCCACCCACTTGTGGTATATCTGTTTGGACAGAACTACATATCTATGACATTGAGCAAGTTGCATAACCTCTATGCCTCAGTTTCCTCTTCTGTGAAATAAAACTATCTTCCAAGAGTATTGAATATGTGTCCATGGACAGGTGAAATAGGAAACAAATCTGTCTTGGAGGAAATGAAACCAAGGTGCTCTTTATAGACAAGGAGAGTGACATGTCTCACATATTTTAGGCAGTTGTCAGAAGGGGCTAGTCCTTGAGAAAAAAGACATCATGCTTGCAAATGTAGAGGGTCAGTAAAAGGGAGGAAGACTCCTAAAGAGATGGACAGTGACTGAAACAATGGGGTTGAACACAGTGCAGATTGTGAAAACGGCACAGGATAGGGCAAGGTTCTGATCTGCTGTTCATAGGATCGCTGGGTGTCACAGTCAACTCAACAGTCTAACAGCAGATGTGACAATATGTATCTAAGATAGTGCCCAACACATACTACCTACACTTTTGTCCTGTTATTATTATTATTATTATGGTTATTCTTGTTAGTTCAGTTTTTCAAAACCCAAACCAAAGAACTCATGTCAGAATTGAGATGAAGAATCAGGAACTGAAAAGAATTTTCTTTTAATCAATGCATTTCTTCATATTTTTAATTAGAAAGAAAAGCATGATTTCCAAAAGTAGAGTATTATGATTGGAGCTGGACCATGTAATTCAGCCTGAGCATTTCTTTTTGTCCAAACTTTTTACTATGAAAATTCTAATATAGAGAAAATGGAGCTCTAGTCGCCTAGTGGTTGAGAGCTGTACTACCAACCTAAAGGCACAGAGTTCAAATCCACCAGTTGTTCCATGAGAGAAAGATGGGAAATCAACTCCAGTGAGATTTACTGCCTCTGAAAACCTGCTGCAGCTATGAGTAGGTTCTATCTTGATGGTATATAACAACAAACAACAATGTAGAGAAAAGTTGAAAAGTAGTTATGAGCTCCTATTTTCTACTGTATAAGCTTATTATTATGTTCTAGCCGCCTTATCATATATGGTGATTATCATATGCCCATTATATATCCATTTTTAGCCATTCACTTTTCAACATTGAAACAGATTATATGTTAAATACAAAAGTGTCATAAAATTATATACCCAGTAGAATAACAACTACTCAAACACTAAAAGGCTGTGAAGATGAACAGTGATAACATTTGGATGACAAATATCCACCCATTCTTTTTTATTTGGACGCATTTCAGAGAAAGGTATGAATATGTTTTTTAAATCTAAGCATTGCAGCGCTTTGAAAATTTCTAAAATTTCATGCTGATACTTGAATTCTGATTTATGTCCAAGTAGATGGTGATAGTATCAAGTAGAGAGCCACCTGTCCTAGTTACCCACTGCTGCTGTAACAGAGATACCACTGGGTGGATGGATGTGACAAACACGAATGTATCCTCTCACACTTGAGGAGGCTAGGAGTCCAAATTCACGGTGCCAGCTCTAAGGGAAAGCCCCCTTCTCTCTGACAGTTCTGGGGAAGGTCCTTGCTTCCTTCAGCATCTGGAGACCAGGTGTTCATTCTCTGGTGATCTCAGGTGTGTCCTTGCCTTCCCCAGCATCAAAAAGCTTGAGAGCACAGAGGCCCAGCTCCAGAAGGAAGCATACCACCCCTGGCAATTATTTATTAATGGTAATGAGGTTCCCTCTACTCCTTCAATCACTTTCCTCCCTTTTCAACTCTCCTGAGAGAAAAGATATTCCAAGCCAAACCCTTACATTAGGGTTGTGATGGGATTAAGGACTGATACCTTCCAACCTTAATACTCCTATAGCCTTCGATGAGATGGATCGATTCTGTGAGTGGAGTGGTGGGAATGAGTGTGTTTGAGACGGTGAGATTGGCACAGGATAGAACGGCATTTAGGGCTCTTGTACACAGGGTCACTATGAGTTGCAAGCGACTCATTAGCACATAACAACAACAACATTTGATTTGGTGTTCATTACATAGCTTCCACATGACATCACTACATACATGCATTTGGGGGGGATATAATTCAAACCATCACACCCATCAACTGAACTTACTGAGATGCAAAGTTGTGATGATGACACTCTTAGAATTGATTTTCATTGTTCATCATCATTTCTGCCATTATTTATTGAGCCCTTACCAAGTGCCAGGTGCTGTGATATGTGTTTAAACACACACAGGTTCATTTGATCCTTGAAAATAATGCTGTGAGGTAGGGGTTGTTATTGTCCCCATTTTCACAGATTAGGAAACTGATACTCAGAGAGGCCAAGGTCATAAAACTACAAGGGGCTGGGAGTTTTTACACTTGATTACCATACTGCTCTACAGGAGAAAGATGAAACAGTCTGAATCTGTCATGATTACAGCCTTGGAAACTCTAGGGGGTAGTTCTCCTCTGACCTACCAGGGCATGGTAAGTATGACCTTTTTTGTTGACAGGGACCATCAGATCAATTGTGACTCAAGAGTGACTCTATCAACAACAGATCAGGACCTTGTCCTATCCCTATACCATCCTCATGCTCTCTAACATGCTAGATGCCCATATGGATGTGGTACTACAGTTGGGCAGCTCTATTTATCACATAGCTCTATTGTTGCTGGGGGTGTGGGGCAGTGGAAGAGAGAGAGAACAGAGAGAATGGCTAGAGAATTGGGCCTGCGGGAGGTTGTCACTGTTGACTGACAACTGGGGCTTGGAATAACATAAAGCCCTCAAAGCCAGGACTCTAACCTTTGAAGAGACATCACCTGAGGTAAGAGAAAAAGAAACAGACCAAATTATCTATAGTTTTCTGTTTGTCTCTAACTCCACATTCAGATAGGATGTTTTCCTATTACGAGAAATAGATTTTTACTGCTAAGTTCACTGTCATTAATTCAGGTGTTATTGTTGTTAGGGACCCTCAAGTCAGATTTAACTCATAGTGACTTTATGTGTAAAAAAAAAAAAATTCACCCCTTTTCTACAAAGATGGCGCCAAAGGCGAAGAAGGAAGCCCCTGCCCCTCCCAAAACTGAAGCCAAAGCAAAGGCATTAAAGGCCAAGAAGACAGTCCTGAAGGGCATCCACAGGCACACACACACACAAAAAAAGATCCACACGTCACCCACCTTCTGACGGCCTAAGATGCTGAGACTCCAAAGGCAGCCCAAATACGCCCGGAAAAGCGCCCCCAGGAGAAACAAGCTTGACCACTATGCCATCATCAAATTTCCCCTGACCACTGAGTCAGCCAAGAAGAAGACAGAAGATAACAACACACTTATGTTCATGTCAAGGCCAACAAGCACCAAACTGAACAAGCTGTAAAGAAACTCTATTACATTGATATGGTCCAGGTCAACACTTTGATTAGGCCTGATAGAGAGAAGGCCTATGTTCGACTTGCTACTGACTATGATGCTTTGGATGTTGCCAACAAAATTGGGATCATCTAAACTGAGTCCAGCTCGCTAATTCTAAATACAAATTTTTCTCACCATAAAAAAAAAAATCCACCCCAACTCATTGCTGTAGATTCAGAACCAACCCACAGCTGACCATCTAGTGGGTCTTCAGAAGCTAAAAATCACATGGGAGAAGACTGCTCATCTCTCTCCT